TCTTTGACATACACGTTATATTTAATGATCTCTCAACACCTTGACAAATTCAAGGGTGGTGACAGAGAAGGAGAAAAAAAAGCAACCATTAATATGCTTCGAATGGGAAGACCTTTACACGAAAGGGGCAAGAAATGTCCAGAGCCGTGTCTGTCCTGTGACTGCCATCAATATCCTAGCAACCGTCTCCCAGGGGCTCTATAATCTCCCCTATCTAGCCAATTAACAAGTGGGGATGGTGTGAGAGGGGGGTCAGAGGAGCAGAGACTGGGATCTAGGCTTCATACTCCGGATGGAAAGGCTTGAGACTGAGATCACAGCATCATCACTTCCACTCATCACCCCAGTTATTTCTGTCACATCCAGGTGGCATCTCTCTCTCCGTGTTCATTTCTGCCTCTTGATTTGATTAGTTGCGACGCCACTTGTCAGCCCGGTGTCGTGTGGTAAGGATAGCCACTGATCTTTAGCCACCTGCCTGCCGTTAAGCTGTTTCAGTCTTAGCCGCTGCACATTGATACAAAAACAGAAATAGCCTCGCTAGCAAGGTTAACCACTACATATACGCCTGTAACGTCGTGAGCAAGGGCACCGCTCGAGTTTCCTTAAATTAACTAAATTGAATTGACTTGAGAGAGAGCTTCCTGTGCTGAACGCTAATGTTCACAGTAGGATTGTTGGGTCCGCCTTCAGCTGGCAGAATCGTTCAGGTATGCTGGATCAAATTCACCCCATCTCTGAGAAGGGCCTTCATCTGCCTCCACAGTTATTCACCACTTCTGTGAAACCCAGACAATAACACCAATGCTCTATATCCTGTGCTTCTTTTATCTCACAGGGATGCCACGGTGGGAGTATCTCCGATTCCTTGGCACATACGATGCATGCAGTAGCTCCCATGAATTATTCAAAGGTTTTCCTCTTAGTTGCAGTGGTTAACATTGAGCCGGTTGTATGTCATTTCTTTATCTATGGGATCCCCCACGGAGAGTGCCCTACTGTATTCTATAAGATAGAAGGGCAGTATCTTACAATAAACTTATGAATGCAAAACTGAGCGTCAGAACAAAGGCTTCTGTACTGTACGCTGTTTTAGCCATGATATACATGCGAAGATGCACACACGCTGCATAGTAAACATGGAGCCGTGTGAACAGCAGCTGCACCAGAAACCTATTCTTTTCACTCAATCATGGCAGACTGACTGATTCTGACAAGTGTGCCCAAACCTCTCTGGTATTATATGCTCACACCTCCACATGCGTAGGCATTGGCACAAATTAGCACAAGCAAGAGGCTGGTGTCCTATGGGAGAGGCAGCTGTCAGTCTTTAGATCTATTCTTGGCTCTGGGAGTCTTCACACAACTGTGGGTAGTGAGGAAGCCTGACAGGTTTTATAGTAATCAATCATTTGTCCCATGGCTGGTTCACAATTTGATAGGAGCGATGACAAAGAAAAATAAAAGGAACCTATTATTCAAAGGTATCAAAGGCGAGAGTTGTGTTTGCGTCTTCAAAGGATTGAAAGGAATAACCGTCCATAACATGACAAAATAAAGATGCTCACATGCTTTACCATCCATTCAAGTATTGGCAACTCCGCCACAAGATAATAAAATCCCTTCTTGCCCTTTCTCTTTATGTCCCCCCCTGCCAACATGTTGTGCAATTATAGCTCAACATCCTAACAAGACCTCCCAGCGGACCGCCAGTCAGTGACGCTGTCAATTTGGTAGCTGAGATGGCTGGAAATGTCTCATTACTCTGCTGAGTGCAAGCAGCAGAAACTCCTCTCAACGAAGCACAGTTAACTCTGTGTGAACTGTCCTGCCCAAAAAAAAGTCATTATAAAGGAATAACCCACGGGATCAGCATCTACCTCTACCTGCCCTTAGTCTCCACGATGAATAAATTACACTTTATATTTTTGCTGAAGGAACAGGTGAGGAGGGTCGTGGAAGGTTCACTCTTGTCGCTGCACACCCTTTCTGCACACAATGGCATCTGTCCTCTAGTTTGGTTGGATTGTACAGGTGTGCAGGGTGCGTAGATTACAGAGATATCTTTTAAGCTTTGGGAATGCAGAAGTTCAAATGCAGCATCTGTTTGCTGTATATGACCTATTTTTCACATGCGAGGAATTTAGCCAAGTGAAGTTAAATTTATTCATACTCCATTTGGCAGGAAGATTTCTGCAAAGTAAATGCAAAACAAAGACAATCAAAAGCAGCGGAGATGAAACAAAACAGAATGTTTCTGATTGCAATTTGGAGGCTTGATAATGAAATTCAAAGATTTCACCCTGATTTCACCTTCTTATTCTCTGTTTTCATCATACACTTGAGCGTGACATGAAATGAAGGCAAGCATAAAAAGAGCTAACAGAAGGCGGTGGGTCGATGTGGTGGTACGATCACAGTCTGTCTGCTTTGGCCTGCTGTGCGCATGTGTATGTGTGTGTGCGTGTGTGTGAATATGTTTGAGTGTGTGCATACGTGTGCGTGCTTTGAATCAAGCTTGGCTCTGATATCCATGTTCTCTGTCCAACACCTCCCACCTCCCTACTGCTGCCGAATCCTGAGTCCAAGAAGGATCCCCCGTAGGCCCTGAAAAGTGGGACTGCACCTCAATAAGTTTAGAAGCAACTGGCCTAGAAGCGTTACTTTCTTAAAGGCAGTGTGCTTAGCTGATTGGTAAAACACGAAACCCTGCTGCTTCATGAATTAACAACCTGACAGGCGGTAATTTTCCATCAATGTTGCATCACCAGGACTTTAATTAACTGAAACAAAGGAATGTAGCACAGTTCCTTTCTTGAATTTTAATAAATTGCAAACAAACTTTCAAAGCCTTCGTGTTGTGGACAACTCTGTAAATGTGTGTAAATTCAGTGTAAGCTCATAAGAAAAAAAAGTCTCAAACATTTTATTGTCACCTTCCCACTCCTACGCCTCCATGATTTTGAATAACAATAGACTACAAAAGAATCTTGTGTAGGATATTCACATATCAGCATTCACATTTACCAATGTAGCTGCACTATCAAGCTTTAGAATAAAAATTAAAACTATAAGGATGACAGGTACTGATATTAGGTCTTTCTACGAACAGTTTTCCATACTGCTGTTAATGAAACACATTCTATTTTGTTCTTGGGGTATATTCATCCTTTCCTTTGGGTGAAGAAGTCAACCAGAATTTCATGGAGATAAATTAGGTGATTCTACAATGTCTCAATTAGAAAGAGAGGGATGACCTTTCAGATAACAGCTAAACTTTAGACTGAAAAGATGAATGTGCTTTTAGCCATCCTAGCGGCGTGGCTCTACGGACAGCAGTGACTAAAATATTACAACAACTATTGGATCTATTGCCACGAAATCTTGTACAGACATTCATGGTCCCCAGAGAATAAATCAGACTGACATCCAATGACTGTTCCTGTAGTGTCACCATGAGGTTGTTATTTAATTTTTTTGTAAAATGTCTTATTAATTACTGTGTTGATTGTTGAAATTTGGTACAGACATTCTTCTTCCCCTCAGGATCATTTAGGAAAACGTTCCATTAGGTCAAATTTTAATTTGTCCAGTATTTTGATTTATGACCATTACCTGCAAAACAAATGATATTCCCATCAGCCTTAACTCTACTGTGTGGTTAGTGCTATCTAGCATGACAACAACATTGTACCTGCTAAACTTTAGCATGTTAACTTCGTCATTGTGTGCATGTTAGCATGCCGATGTTTGCACTTAGGTCAAAGCACCGCTGTGTTTGAGTGCAGCCTCACAGAACTGCCAGTGGGGCTGTGTACTCTTGGGAAGTTGTCATCGGAAACAGTTTGGAAAAGGGCTGGCACTTTCAAAACATACTTTGTGCTTAATCCCTTAATTTGTGCACTACAGCCTCATCTGTCTTCAACCAGTCAGATCAGCAAACCATATAACATTGTCAAGCAAGTTAATCAGGTCAATCAGAACATCTTAGTTCCTTGCTGATTGGTCCGGTACTACTGTGATTTGGCCACAAATGCATCGCTTGAAGTCTGGCGAGATGGATTCTCGTGTGATTTTGTGATCTTGTGAGTCCAGCTGCCTCACAAGGTCAGATGTTTTGTCTGAGACTGACACGTTTACTGTGGTTTAACTTATCTACCGACGTTATCGATGAGCTGCTACAGCCTTATAGCTCTGGTTAGCACCCTGCTAGTTGTCTGGCTAACAATATCAACCAAAGTCTTAAGCTGCTCCCTGCAAAATAACATAAACATAGATCAGTGTGGAAGTAGTTTTCATAATATCAACATCATCCAAAGCTACTTTATTGTGCTATCAATTACACTACCGGGTTCCTCGAGGATATTTCCATTCAGCTGACTAGAAATCTATTTTTGCACTCAAACTAAATAATGGATTTCAGCTTTAACTTGGTTTCAGTATTTGCAGACAAAAGGTAGGTAAAAACTAGTTTCTTTTATCCAGGTCTGTGTGTTTTATTACGAGCTGTCTTTTATATTTCATCTGTTAAATCTGGGGTGGGTCTGTTCTCTCAGTTTGTATGTCAGTATTTTTATTTTGGGAAATACCTCTCTGGCATCTTTCGTGGTGCTAAAGGTGATTGTTACAGGATTATGAGATGATTTTAATTGTATTGTTCTGTAATTCCAAGCTTTGTTGAAGCAGAAAAATGAAAACGTTCCAGTCCTAACACATGGTTTGATGGAACTGCCTGTCAGGGAATACTTGAATCTCACTGTAGTTGAGCGTAACACTGAAATAATGAAACTGCTGATAGACTTTCTTAAAAGCAGCTTGTATAAGCTTTTCTCTAGCAATATCAGTCTTGAGTGCACAGTAATAATTACCATTGGTGTCATGTTCCACTGCATATCCCATGCGAGCTTATTCTTATTTCCAGATGTCATTATTTTCTCATCTTTTTTTTTTTTTTTTTGCTTTATACAAACAGAACTGCAAAAACTCAGAAAGACCTCATGATGAAGGTGAGAAGAGTATAAAGGGAGGACAGCTGAATCAACATAAGCGTATCCACACTCAAGGAAAGCCTTACCCCTGTGACCACTG